ATGAAAGAAGAGGTGTAGAGAGAGAGAGAGAGAGAGAGGTGCAATTTAGGTGTGATGATGATGCAATGGCAGTCACTTTCTGTACTGGAATGTAATGGATAATTAGGCAAGAACAAGTGGTGCCAAGTTTATCACACAATGGCATCATTCTTTTAGGTTTATTTTGGTCTGCAAGATCTTGTTTGATCTCCTAACATCTCATATATAATGCTTTTTCTTTTCTGAAAAGAATTAACAACATCTTGAATCTTTTAATGCTTTTTTGTTACTTGCTTTATTCTAATCTCACTGTTCTCATCTGCCAACACTGTTGGGAATAACTTTATCTGCTTCACTGGTGCTCCAAATTTTACTTTCAGAGTTTGGTTGCAGCATCTTAATGCTAATTCATCAATTACATTTTGTTTATAATGCATTGACTTGACCAATATTCCGATTTCCATATGTCAAACATAGTGGATAGGAAAAGGAAACAAGAAATTAAGATGTGATTTCTATGTTGCTGTGTGTTCAAGTAAATGCAGAACAAAGAGACAATGACAGCCTTCCTTTTTCTTTAGCATCTGACAGGGATCTCCAATACAACCCCTTTCTCAACTGACTATATTATTGTCAACATGCCAAAACAAATGTAATGAAAGGGTTGCGCACAGTATGATCTCCATTATCAAGTATTTGAAATCTGTGAAAATTCTCTCTTTTTTGTGTTGACTTTTGTCCTCAGGTCAGACAAGTTGGCTGAAACTTTAGTTTATTGGCTTGACTTGTCATTCATGCTGAGAGACAGTAGCTTGGTGGAATTATCTGCAGAATTTTCTGATAGATGATCGATGATCAAGCAGTAATTACTATGATAGATTTGCTGATACTCACATCTTTGAATTTATGACCAACATCTTCTTTTTCTTCGGGGAAAATGATGAAACCAATTAATTGCAGGTCGGATAATACCTTACGGATACCGATAAAACACTTAGAGCGAATAATTCCTCGTGAGCTTATACAATTTCTACTGTGACATAACATCCTAATGAGAGAGATGAATTCAGAACACATTCTAAAGCTGCTATCTGAGATATGATTCTGATCTTTTTTGCATGAGTTTCTGCTTTTGGCTGTCACCAGTGCTTGTCCTCGTTAATGGCCTTTTCGCAGCTACTACACACACACACACAGATTCCATGCTTCCCATGTTGCTCCAACACAGCATGAGTTAGTGAGGCTGATGCCTCTGAGAGTTGCCATCATGATATTGACATGGCAACCGTTGTGCCACAATTCATTTTCACTATGGATAGTGCTTCTTGCTGACATGTGAATTCACATATGAATTATGATTTTGGGTAGTATATGAGTTATTATCTATCCAAAAACACCTTTTTCAAGTATCCTTTTTCTGTTTTTTTTTTTTTGTTCGGTCTATTTTCCATCTTTTGGATAAAGAAAAGAGGAGAGTTTGAGATGCCTATATACCTATATTGTGATCAAACATAATAATTAGAATTGTTTGAGAATAATAGCCACAATTCCATCACATCTTGTACATTGATGTTACTAGAATTGCCCATTGTTTGATAGGTTGGTGGTAGGATGACCACAAGCTTGCTAAGCGCAATGATATGATGTTTGGTAGGCTCAACTATTTGATGTACTTGCAAGCAGCCAATAATGGGATGGAATTGTGGGACAAAGGCAATGATTGAGATCTTTGGATTTATTTTTGGAGTATGGAGAGCAGATTTGATTTGATGACTTGGAAATCACTTGTTTGTCGATGTTACAGGGAGGGATTTACTTTACGTATTAGTCTGTAAATTTCTTTTGATCTTTCTTTCTAATTGAAAATATTGATTTTAAGAAAACCAGCTGAAAATAACATCAAAAACTGTGTGCACAATCCTGAGGCAATTTTCATGTCTCTTTCTCTAGAGTTAGTTCACTTCGATTTCTTCGATGATTAGATTGAGAAAATCTAAAATATGTTTTTCTATTATTATATTTGAGTAATTTTTAGATCTAACCCATATGCAAGAAATCTAATAATGGAGTGATGCTTTCAACTTTTTAGCCTATTTGATCATCATGTGAGTCACACAACTAAATTGATTCCTTTATTCTATGATGGAGCTCTCCATTAATACCAATCCCTTATGATCTATGTGCATGAGTTGTTAGATTTGTTGTCGGATTTGCATGCAGAATCCAGCAATGGAGTGGCTGACTGCATCAAAGCGATGATTCCTTCCTAATCCAATGGCTTTGCCCATCCTAACATATTGCGTCTGATGCAGCGGTACTGTAAGATCACGAGCTCTCGTATTGCTTGCCTCGACATGACTCGCCTGAAATGGAACCAGCTCCGATCCTTCTCCTTCCACCTTCTTGCAGAAACCACAAGCTGTGCTTGGCATGACGAGGAAGGTGCTGGAAAAGACTGTCAAAAATAAGGAATCATAGCGCGTGTGCACCATGAAAAGGCTTTGACCTTTGTCTGCCATTGAGGGGCATCACTTTGCACGGTGAACCCCCACAGGGAAGTGCTGCGCGAGGCCGACGCCAGTGTTGCACCCATTACACACACCCAGTCACCTCACATCCCGTTATTCCATATGATCATTCATCTTACGATCATGTTATTTCTTTCTGAGACCACTCAATTCATCCAACAGGTTGAAATCATCAACCTCTATGCTTCGGCCACTGAGATTTGTCTTTTGTGGCATGCCGGCGAACAAGTTGCAGATGCAGACGGTGAGGAAACTGATCCGACTTGCATGCATGAGGTGGTGGAATGATGGCATCAGCCGGGAATTTGGACCTTGGAGCTCTCCACCATCGTCGCCTCTCAGAAAGTACACAGTTCGTGCATGGTACCGTCACTGGTACCCCCCCTCCCTCTTGCGTGGATTAGGATTGGCCGGGAGAGGATAAAGCTGGGAAGGCAGGTGAGAAGGGTTAGAGAATAAGAGCTGTTCTGCTCTTGCATGGTATATATCCTCCACTAGGGTTCGTGCTGATTCAATTGGGAGATGCTTACGCGTCCAGAGAGGTTGGCCATGGTGCACTACGAATGTGGAGTGTAAAGGCAAGCAATTAGGCATGCTGGTTAAACAAATGGACCACTCTGGGATTGTTAATTTAACGAGGAAGCCATCGTCGTCTTCGATGGAGTGTCGTCGTCAGACGACGTGGTCGCCTCCAGCAGTTTCAGGTGTCGCCAGTAGATTGCTGGGCGTTTCGTGCCCGAGATGCCTCTTCTTCCTCCTCCTCCTGCACGAGGAGGTATCACCAACATGAGGAAGGCTCTAATTAGTCTTCCTCGGTCAATCATTCAATGACAAGGATGGATGAGTTTGGATTGGTTGAGTTACTCACACCTTTTCATCCGGCCAAAAGGTTATGGTTGATCAGATCTTGATGAGGAAAATTGCCGACGATGACAAGCAGTCTTGTCTCCAAGCAATGGTTGAGTTGCTCCATTAAATGAAAGGAAAGGAAGCTGCTGCCAACTGCACTCAGCGCAGTGAACCTAATCGACCAACCTTGCTAACAAACGTTGCCATGATTGAGATCGCCACTTTATAGCATCGATAAGTAACACTGTGGCGGTTGTAGCAAAACATTGCTTAAACAACAATCCATTGCCGAAAGCACCAAATGAACGCAAAAGTGAAATGACAGGATGAACTCATTCGATGCGGAAGGAATCTAATTTTATCTCTTGGTTAAATATATTTAATTAATTTAAGAATATTTTACCATATGGTAACTTCTTAAATAATTTTTTCTATATTACTACAAAAAAAAAAAGATTGAGGTATCATTAAAAGCAAGTGAAAGTCGCGTTTATTTTTTCGATAGTATGATTCCATCGTACATGAATGAGATATATATAGAGATGCGAAACCTTAATAGTATGAGTTCACTCCGTAAGTCTAGCAGTTATTATTTCTTTTATTATTATTATTTCCTCATGATTTCAAACAGTGAAAAATGGTTAATTCCTTGGATGATAGGAGTAGGGATTAGAAATTTGCATGTCTTTGTTTCCATGCAGAATATGGTTTGATTAGGAGCCAAATAACGATAGTATTTTCCTGTTTAAGCTATCGGTATTATTAACACTGAGCTTTTGATCGATAGATTTACTTGCAACGAATACATAGCTCACAGATCCCTCCATTTGATACCTTTATAGAGATTTATAGTGCATACAAATTCTTCCTTTTTTGCAGCACTTGGAAGAAAAATACACACAGTCGCAACGATGGATAGTTTCAGGCGATTAAGTGGTACTGGAGGAGGTAGAAGAAGGATTGAATGCCTCTTGCTCGGCGCAGTCCAAGTTATCGCTGGAGAATTGGCGGCCGACGCCCATCAGGTCGAGGTAATACTGGTAATGCGATATAATGTTGTTCATGCCGTCAACTGGGCCCTGGCCGCACACCTGGTCGCCGTAGAGAACGTTCATGGTGGCTCCGAAGCCCGGCAGCCTTTTGGCCAGGGTATCGTTCTTGGTGGGCTTCCATTTCCCCACGAACACGTCATGGGCGGATGGCTGCTTCTTCTTCATCGGGGTCATCCACCTGTAGATGGCAGCTTGGAATGCGAGGGTGGCGTTCTGCTCAAGGTACTCCGGGTGGTTCAGGAGATCAACCTTCAGCCCATCCCCGATGGTTCCGTAGTTGTAGTTCCTGCGTCTCATCGGCAATGGAGTCGGATCTCTGCCGAGCAATTGTGCTGCAGACGTTCTCGGACTGTGAGCAGAGTGACGTACCAGTAAACGGGCAGCGCGCCGCGGCCGTAGTAATCAACTCCGGGAGTGCATGGGTAGAGGTAGTTGTCGTCGCAGTAGGACTGGCTCGGGCTCATCTCGCGTTTGTAGCATAAGCCCCAGGCGAGCGGGCCGCCGGTGGCGACGCCGTACCCACCTGCACCAACAGACGGAGAGCATGAGGCTTAAAAGGCCGGTGCATGGAGGTGCACGGAGGAGAGGGTCCTTGCACGAGGTCTTGCTGCCGACGTGGCCGAGGAAGGCGGCGACCTCCCCCATCTGCGTCTGCTTGCCGCCGGTGGTGCCGAAGCCGAGCGGCTGGTAGACGGCGGCGGCGGTGATGAAGGAGTGGTAGTCCCAGAATCCGACGGCCTGCGCCACGGGGGTGTTGCGCTTGCTGAAGAGGTTCTCGAACTGGTACACCTGGAAGAAGTCGGAGATGGTCTCGTTGCAGCAGTACACGCTGTTCTTGCACTCCCACCCCTTGTCGCACACCTTGGGCTTCGCCGAGGACGCCGCGGTTGCGCACCACGCGGCCAGTACCAGCAAATGCATCACCACCGCCACCTCCATTGATGGGTTCTTCCTCGCCATTGTCTGTGGGATCTCTCGATGCAGGAGAGGAAGAAGATCTGCGTCTATATATAGACAGACGGCGGAAAGAAGAGACCGAGGTGGCATGCTGATGGCAGCAGCTGGCGCTTCAGGTGTTGCGTCGCTTAGAGTGTAAGGCAGGCAAAACCGGGGACACAATTGAGAGGAGGTCTGTCACCCATCAGAGTTGGCCCTCAGCACCTGTTCTGGATGTGATCCACCACCAAGGATGAGATTGGCTGGAAATCTCATCATCTTTTTCTTAGAAATTGGAAGAAAAAATCATAAAATTCTAAAAATTCTTTTAACTTTTGTGGTCTGATAATTTAGCACAAGATATATTAAAAATCTAATTAAATTCTATTATCGCCTATATAATGATTGGATAACCTTAAATTTTTATGTTTGTTCTCCGATATCATAATCGAAAGAGGAGAAAAAAGTCTAGTTTCTTTTAATGTAGATTTAATAAAGTTTTACGATATCCAAGCTAGCCGATAATATCGTGCACACATGTTAGTCTTATCATAATATTTTAAGTATCATTAGATGAGATTTATGTGAAGAAGCTGTAACTTTGTCTCTCTCGGATACTTTTTTACTAGACTTATACACTAACGGGCAAATTTTAAAAAAAATATTTTTTATTTTAAATTTTTTTGATTAATGTCCATCCCATTTTATAACATCACTCTCTCATGTTTTTCTACATCTCAAAATGTTTCTGATAAGATAAATAGAAAAAACTTTTGTCCTCTACATTGAACAAGTTTATAAGGTAAGATAAATGGATCCAACTATAATGTTTGTTAATAAAATTATAATATCTCAAAAAAATATTCATATTTTGTTTGTAGTATTTCGGTTTAGTCCCTACTACTACTAAAAATGAGCAAATACTATAATCAACTTACAAGAATTTGATGAGTTTATTATTATTAATTTAAGTTTAAATATTTTAAAATAATAATTTAAATTCAATAGAAATAATGGACCAATTAAGTTATCATTCCTAGGAATTATAGAAATTAGCACAGCCGGTCCCATGGTCTAGTGGTTAGGACATTGGACTTTGAATCCAGTAACCCGAGTTCAAATCTCGGTGGGACCTTAATATTTAACAAATAAAAAAAATTATAGAGATATCCATGTATTCTAAAAGGATTTGATGCTTCTAAGCATCATTTTCACAAATTTTGTGAATAATATATATATATATATATATATATATATATATATATTTGCACAACCATACTATTTTTTCTTTAGGAGAAAAATTATTCTTGGTTCTTTATTAGATATCCACTCTCCAATTTTTCACCCTTCTAAATCTTTGATTGTCACGAAAATAAATAATATTATATATATGATCTAATAATCAATATAATTGACTTTGCAAAAGATTTAGATTTAAGTAAATAGTTTAGGATGAAAATATTTATTTAGGATATGATATATTTTTTCATTATTTTAAAAACTTATATTTTATTTTTTATCAATATGTTATTGGATCAGTTCAAAAGCAGAAATACTCTTAGTTCCCTCTACTATTCTCTTCCTTATTTTCTTGAAGTTTTATAGAAAAACCAACAGTGTTGTATCATAGTCTAATTCAAAAAATTTATCTGGAGTACATCAATTAAAAATGAAGAGAAGACTAGTAAATCTATAAAAAAAAAAGATGATACACATTGGAGTAAGTACTTCTAATCTACTTCTTTCTATCTTGGATTGTTAGAATGAAAATTTTATATATCTCATATGAATTATGAAATTTGGTAGAATATACGAAAAGATGTAAGAGTCTTCTACATGCTACAATAAGCAAAAGATGATTTCCTATTCCATTGAATCATGATGGTATCAATATCAATAGAAGCCTAAAAAATATTTGAAGTGTGTTTGCACAATATTCAAATTTTATAAATAAAAAATAAAAAAAAATATTAATACACATCTTGATTTGTGAATATATATATATATATATATATATATATATATATATATATATATATGTATATATATTCATATGAATTATGAAATTTGGTAGAATATACGGAAAGATGCAAGAGTCTTTTACATGCTACAATAAGCAACAGATGATTTCCTATTTCATTGAATCATGATGGTATCAACATCAACATCAATAGAAGCCTAAAAAATATTAAAAAGTTTGTTTGGAGGCACAAACAACATAAAAATTTCAAAGCTTCAAATTCTTCGACGTGAATTCGAAACTCTTATAATAGATTTTGAATCTATCATTAATTTCTTCTCGAAAGTTTCTTCTATTGTGAACAAAATGAGATCTTATTGGTGAAAATCTAAAAGATTATAGTTTAGAAAAAGTTTTACGAAGTTTATTTTTTAAATTTGATATGATTTCTATTACTATTGAAGAAGTTAAGTAAATAAGTATATTATCTATTAATGAATAAATGGGTTCTCTTTTAGTTCATGAAAAAAAATAAACATATCTCCAAATGAAATTTCAAAACATATTCTTCAAATGAAGATAAAAAAATTTTAGAATCCAAATCTCAATAGAGATATCAAAATGACAAAGGATGAGGTTGATCAAATAAATGTAACAAAGAAACTCATCGATTTTTTTTAATTAGATATATTGAAAAAAGATTACTGGTAAAAAATAAAAATCCAAATGTCCCTCTCTGCTTTTACTGTAAAAAAATATGGTCATATTAAAAAAGACTATTGGGACAAAAATTAAATAAATTATCATGAGGAAAATAATAGCAAAGAAAAGATGAAGAAAATATATTTTTTAGTATAAAGAATATTATAGATCTATTTAGTTTTTAGATAGTGGATATAGTAATCATATGATATAGGACAAAAGTTTATTCTAAAAGCTTGATGATTCAGTTAGATTAAAGGAAAATGAATAGTTATTATGAACACCAAATCTAGTAAAAAAATTATTGATGATGTGATATTTATTTTTGGTTTAAAATAAAATCTTATTAGTATCGGACAATTGATGAGAAAAAGATATTATGCTATTTTTTATGATGAAAAATATTTTATTTATAATAAGAAAATCAAAAAATTGATAGCAATGGAAAGGATGACAAAAAACAAAGTATTTCCCTTATTATTTTCGGATTTCTCCTTATATACTGCTAATGAATTGATATTATGGTATAAAAGCTATGATTATTTGAATTTTTATGGGTCTATATAAACTATCTTACATAATGAATCTTTCAAAATTCAAACCGATAAGAAGATACTTAAGAACAAGACTAAAGTTGATAAAAGTTCTAATAAAAAGAATGAAGAGTCACGGTTGAACAAGCGAAAAATTTTGAATTCTATTTCATCTATCACTAGTGAACCTATTACAAAGGTTGCAAGAGCATCAAATGAAGATGAGATTGACAATTATGAAGAAATTTTTGATAATGAACATTCAAAAAGGACAACAAGATACGAAGTCTTAAGCAACAATAGTGATTCTGACCGAGTCTTCTAAGAAAAATAAAGATGAGCAACCACTAAAGAGTTCCAAGAATATTAAAGATGTAAAAATAGTGAATGCAACATCTAAGACTAGTTTGCTGATATCTTCACAAAAGCATTAACAAAATTTTTTTTTATTATGAAAATAATTTCAAGTTATAACTATTTAAATTAAGGGAGTGTGTTAAAATTAATTCAAATGGTTAATATTAGATAAAGTAAAAGATACAATTTAAATTTAAATAAATATATTAGGATAAAAAGATTTATTTAGGATATGATAGAATTTTTAATTATTTTAAAAACTTATATTTTATTTTTTTAGTCAATATAAATAAATATTAATAGATAAATCCAGAAAAAACCTAAGATGGAAGTACTCCTAATTATTCTCTTCCCTGTATTATAAATAAATAAATAAAAAGCTAACAGTCTTAACGCACATGGAAGCGAATCCAAAGCGTCGGTGGGCCCACCGCCTGCGCAGATGGCACCGGCACGAAGGACGCAACCCACCCAGACGGCGTTGTCGGCGCCGGCGATGCCGGATCGGCCCACGTCTCGTCCTTACCCCGCAAATCACCCATCCGACGTCGCCATTCCTCGCCGGTGTCCGGATCGCAGGTCCGGAGGGCGACGCCCCCCGCCGTCCCCTGCCGACGAGGGCAGAAAGCAGACGCTCGGCTGTCACTCCTGCAGACGATGCCGGAAGCACGTGCCGCTTGTCACCGCCAATTTGTCTCTTTCTTAGTCTTTTCTATTGACTCTTGTTCTATTATACACATGATTGAGGGGGCTCTTTAGATTAATATTATTATTATTATTATTATAATATATATATATATATATATATATATAATTCTTAATCTTTTTTATTTCTATGTGATCAAAAAACTTATTTGATTGACTATTTTTTTTAATAGCCTCGTGTATATGACCATCAACTTGGATTTAAATAATTTGAATAAATAGTTTAATTATATCAAATTAATGAGTTGATTATCTTATGGTTCAAGTGATAATAACAAATGATATTAGAGTAAAAATATTATTACTTTGATAGGAAAAAGATTATTCATGAATGGGACTTAAGATATGTTCATAGAATAAAATTATTATTGAACTATATATATATATATATATATATATATATATATAT